TGGCTCACACATACAGCCAGAGTTTTGATACGCTTTCAGCTAAAAGATTCATTGCTTGCCAAGGGTATGGACTCCCCTCACCCTGATTACAAAGAACCCCCGCCGTGGGCAAACGAAATGATCGAATTCTCAATTCTAAATCTCACAATGAGAAAAGATCAATATTCCATGCCTAGCCTAAAGGCACAAGCACAAAGGGTCATTGAACAAATAACTCCGTCGGGTAGTATAACTTACTACATGGACGGATCCGTGGATCCAATAAACCATACTGCAGGCGCCGGCTTTGCAACAAAGGATACCACAGCATCCATTAGGGTCACTGACAATGCCTCAACGCTTCAGGCTGAAACGGTTGCAATCATGGAAGCATTGACACACGCGTCCCTGAGGGGAGGGCACGTTGTCATTCATACAGATTCAAGAGTAACTATTGACAGCTTACAGCATAGCATGCCCCCAGATAACTTCTACCTCTTGATAACAGTACTATACATAGCCCAAAGAATCCTTAGTCAAGGTAGAAGAATCATCATAAACTGGGTCCCAAGCCACATAGGGAACGAGCTTGCTGATAAACTAGCCGAAAAGGGCAGGGGTATGCCCCCATCCTCCATGATCGTTAAACCCAGCCGAAGGGGACTGAGCCAAGGTACCAAAGCTGCAGCGTGTGCGGTCCTCTGGGGAGCACAGAGAAAACATCACAAAATCGCTCGCTGTCAAGTGGTACTCAGACGCTTCAGGCTATGAGCCACTGGCCCTTCTTCCAAATACAAAAAGAGGTACCGAAGTCATATTATTCAGACTAAGACTAGGTTACCAATGCGCTTGGCAAATTATTGACAATGAGACTGGGAGGTTATGTAAACACTTCGGCGAGCCTAACGCCACCCTGTTACATTACTTGCAGAATTGTGTACACACACAATTTCTGAGGCAGGGACCACCCACTACAGCCGCCGGGCTGGTAAAAAGGGTGTGCAACATGCTTTCTCCGTGGCAGCTGGATCGCTTGCTTGCAATCCAGCCACCGCGATAAGCATGCAGTTCAAAGAAAACATCTGAGCTAACTAGAAATAGTTAACACAGGCCGGGCCACTCCAGAGAAAAGGCCCGGGCGAAGCATGACCGCAAATCTAACTGAACTGAACTGACTGAACTGAGTGAGATATCATTCAGCATGGAGAACTCAACCGAGCTTCCATTACCACCCTACCCCGAGCTCGATGTTTCATGGTACGAGGGACTGAATGAGGATTACCCTCCCCCACCTTCTTCTTATAACATCATACCGGGCGACTGTGAAACTCAGAGTTGGCCAGCGTCTCTGGGACGGCTGAGGTGGAGGGGATACTAGCAGCAATGAAGGAACGCCCATCGCACATATTGTCAACACATTTGATGCTAGAGTTGAAGTCGGCTGGGCGCATCTATTACAACGGCAGACGCACTCAAGAGGACGCTGAGGCGAGTGCGGCAAAAGGCAGGTGTGTCTGATCTTCAGCCATTTTGGACAACGTTAAGCGGAGAGGCCTTCCTTCCTTATGAAGATGATGGGGTGATGACTTCGCAGCAGACTCTGATTTGAAATTTCTTGCCGTCTCGTCATTGGTTGGTGATGGAATGTTTAAAGCAGCAGTACACACTCCATGCATACTTTGGTGGTATAACATATCCATGAGTCTATGCATATTTGTCAGGAAAGAATGAAGAGATATCTAATAAAATGTACGAGGTGTTAAAGCTAATACCGCCTGGTTTATCATGCAATCCAGTGACAATAATGACAGATTTTGAGAAGGCAGCATTGAACGCCTTCCAGAGGATTTTTCTGAGTGCAGAGGTTGCAGCTGGCAGGAAGCATCCCTCGGGTCAGAAGTACCAGCTCGTAAATAAGAGGATCAAATCCCTTATTACAAAATTAGAAACATTCCTTTATAGATTTGCAATATCTGGATCAAATAGCTAAAGTAATGGCGATCCCCACTGAACAATAAAGGTATGCTCATCACAAAATATTTCATTACCTAGAGAGAAAAAAATATATGGTTATGTCTCATACTAGTGTTATTATGTATTCTATATACTAAATTATTTTCGCTGCAATTTCAACACTTCTTCTTAATCTTATCTGTCGACAATGAACAGCGATGTACTGACATAAATGGCAACGTGCCTTCTCCGTGACATTTTATCCACTTGCGAAAAGGACGTTGTGTCACAGCGCGATGTGGCAACATTCTTCTGGTAAATTCCTAGGCGTTATTTTTTACTCCAAATTGCCCTGGCGAGACCATATCTTGTACATCAAAGAAAAAGCTCAACGCCGCCTCCGAATCTTACAAATTATTTCCCACATCTCCTGGGGCTCAGATCGCAAAACTCTCCTACATCTTCATGTTACCTTGATCCTCCCCACTCTTGATTATGGATGCCATATCTACTCCTCTGCCTCAATCTCCCTTCTTGCTCACCTTGATACAATCCACCACAGCGGTCTCCGCTTAGTCCTAGGCGCCTTCCGCTCCTCTCCAGTTGAGAGCCTGTATTCTGAGTCTGGCATGCCATCCCTCTCTCGACGTCGAGCCCTTCTCTCTCTCCGATGCTATGCTCGATTTTACCAACTTTCCCTTACCAAACTAACTATTCCACAATCCTTGCTTCATACCTTTACCTCTTCTCCACGTTTACCAACTCCTCTCCCTTTACGCATGGATACCCTCCTCTCCCATTCCCCCTTTCCTCACCTCCGACCTTTCCCACTTTCTATCCATTCCTTGACCATGTCTCCATTCATTCCTCCAGCATTCATGGTTACACTGACGGTTCCAAATCCACCTCGGGAGCTGGATTCGCAGTGACCTTCCCAAAATCGCACTTTCAAATACACCCTCCCTTCTGAATCTAGTGTCCTTCCTACAGAACTGTATGCACTCCTTTTTGCTTTAAGACGCATATACTCCCCTCCCCTCTATTTCACTATTTTTACTGACTCCCGTAACTCTTTAACCCTCATAAAGTCTATGCACTCAACCAATCCCCTTGTCTGTAAGATCCAGAACTGGTTGTTTTATCTATCCACACGTCATAAATCTGTCAGATTTTGCTGAGTACCTAGCCATGTTGGAATCCCTGGCAATGAACAGGCAGATACTCTTGCACGCTATGCCGCAATGTCCACATCACCTCAACGACGCTTCTCACATATTCCAGCTGCGGATTATTACCCCCACTTTCAGACCTTCTTGTATACCCGATGGCAATCTTTTTGGTCAAGACTCCACAACAATAAATTACTTGCTGTAAAACCATCAATCTCCTCTTGGTCAGTTCCATTTCACAGGAACAGACGTTGGAAGACGGCCCTTGCACGCTTACGTATTGGCCACACCCGCCTAACGTGCGCCTATCTAATGTCACGCTCTGACCCGCCCCTATGTCCTCTATGTAATGTCCTTTCAGTTCCATACATTCTGTTGTCCAGTCCACGGTTTAATACAGCATGTACCTCTGCTTTTCCACACCTCTCCTCCCTTCACCGACTTGACGCATAACAACTATCACCTGACATTACCTTTTACTATACCTTCCTATAGTGCTATATGACCTTAGATGTCTAGCACATTTATTTTGCTTTTAACCATTAACCATTCCCAGTTTGGTTTCTGCTGCGCCTGTAGTGCAGCAGACCCTCTTGCCCATTTTGAGACATATTACATCTGCATTTGCACGCCATGAATCTGTATTAGCCATATTCTTTGATATAGAAAAAGCATATGATACCCCACATGGCGATACCATATCTTCCATATACATATTATACATACACACACACACACACACACACACACACCACACACACACACACACACACACACACACACACACACACACACAACATATATATATATATATATATATATATATATATATATATATATATATATAACACATATACATATACATACATACATATATATATATATATATATATATATATATATATTATATACATATACATACATACATATATAATATATATATATATATATATATATATATATATATATATATATATTATATATATGTGTGTGTGTGTGTGTGTGTGTGTGTGTGTGTGTGTGTGTGTGTGTGTGTGTGTGTGTGTATGTATGTGTGTGTGTGTGTGTGTGTGTGTGTGTGTGTGTGTGTGTGTGTGTGTGTGTGGTGTGTGTGTGTATGTATGTATGTGTGTGTGTGTGTGTGTGTGTGTGCATATATGTAACAGAAATGTTGATAAAGATGATACAAAGTTATGTCATAGCTAAATTCTGGGATCTTGTTGTACTCTCTTACACCGCCTCAAAACTACTAACAGGATAACATAACTAATAACTAATAACTAATAACCGAGAGAATCGCCGTCACAGATGGATTATGCATTTGTTCTTAACTGTTTATATTTACAGCCAAGTAAAATTGAAATTGTAGTCCATCATTGATACCCACAATGTTTTTTGTCATTTTACTCAAAGAGATGCGATAACAGTACGATATCGCTGCATGGACTCCAGGCAACACGTGGTCAAAAGAGCAGTCTCTCTGGAGAGAACGTTTAAATGTGTCGCGTATGGGAATCTTACTCCATTTCCCGATACTCTGTATTATGCGCAGCAGTAAAGCACATCCCATAGGATGTTTATTGCATCCTATTAAATATTGTTGAAATGAAAGCCCAAAACTAGGGTTTTATCCGTGAAATGTATTAATTTCCGCCATGTTTTAAGACTAAAAAAGTCAATTTGTCTATAGGACGCGTACATGCGCACGTTTTTCCTTTCCCAAATACACATATACGATGTCATTCTGTTCCCGGTGAATTATCAATTCGCTGTCTTTTCCGTGATAGATTTGTTCTGTGAACGCGACTTAAACAACAAAATGTCATTTCTTAGTGAAATTGTCAGGTTTAATCATACATGCACCAATTATAAAACTACTGGACCAAATAAGAGATGATACATGCGTTATCCATTTATTACCATTGTGACAAGTTACCCAAGTCAGTTTCGTGTTTTAATAATTTTATTGAACTCTGAAGTAAATTAATCTACGGTTTACGTTGCACGAACTGTAAGTATGACGAATGCGTTCATTTCATATCATGCTCCACTTACTGTCTTTCCAGATCACAAACCTATTATCTATAGAAAGACAATTATTATCTGAACATAAATATCTCAAGAAGTTTTGCGTCCTAAGATGCTACTCGATTCGGACAGTCAGTTTGCACGGTGGGCATGTACCGCTTAGCATTGATGTTGACCAGCTGCAGCCAGGCTTTCAGATCCGCCAAGAATGAGCTTGGAATATATGGTCTACGAGCCAGTATCCAGGAAAATTCTGAAAAAGGAGAGACAATGTTTGATTAGTTAATTGTACCAATTTCGACGGCGTTACGGTAAGTAAAATCGCTATTTCTGGTACGCTAAAGAACCTACCAAATTTAAGTTCAGGTCCAAAAAATTCACACGTGTAGACAACAGCGTAGTTTTTGTAGTCGGTTGCAACCACATTGTAGTTAGGTTTGTTTCCCCCCAAGTCGCCTCCATCTGAAAAAGCATTAATGAAATATCTTTTACAAAATAAAATCTTTCTATGGCAAAAATGTCTAATTCGCGTGCACCCGTTCGTTGCAGCCACCTGGGACCGCATTAATAAAAGTCCTTGAGTCACGGAGAAACAGAGCCTACTCCCATTGAACCGTATTCATGTTGACAAATGTGGAAAGGTATGAATGAGAACGAATATCTTCACAATACAAGAGATGTATTTAACCGGTTTCGATTATATCTTCGTCAGAAATACATGTATTTCTGACGAAGATATAATCGAAACCGGTTAAATACATCTCTTGTATTGTGAAGATATTCGTTCTCATTCATACCTTTCCACAACTACTCCCATTGCTAAGTACCTTGAGGCGTCGGCTCAAAGGCGTCTGTGCAAGAAGGAGGAGAAAGAAAAACAGTCCACGTAGCGACAGTTCAAAATTCAGGTTGAGAGATCCCCTTCAACCAAATTATCTCGCATGAATTTAGTCTCTGAACAAAAAGTACCACAGCATTGTATCATGATTCCCGCTCAATCCATCAAGCATGATATATGCAATTTTCTTAGCAGCTTCACTCGTGATCAATATAAAGCACATGCAATTACTTCTTTGTATATCCACTGACGTTAAATTATTGTCCTTATTATATTAGGATGCAAACTGTCATCGCATCTATGCTATATGTAAAGCCAAAGTTTATATGGTGCTGCTATGCATCATGTGACCTTCTATAGTCAGAGTCCGTATGCATGTGTGGTGACATTTTGGGCTGAGTAGAAGTCGCAGCCTTACCGAAGCCAGCGGTGAAAGGGAACTCCACGAAGAGTTGTCCAGCGCTCGGGTCATCTGACAGAGTCGCCACGCCAGCGATTGTATTTGATGCACCTCTAAAATATATATATATATATGATTAGCAAATGTAATATATGCAAGAAAAGAGAATGGATAATAAATATGCTGTAAAATAGTGTTGAAAACATTTTCACAAACGTTCTTCTCCGACTCCGTGTTTGCGAGGACGTCGGCACTTACTCCTGAACATCAGTGTTGAGAACGGACACGCTGCCGTTCGGGAAGAGCGCGTAGTCGGCCGTGACGCAGGAGCCGTCTTGGAACGGGTTGAAGAAGCGCTCGATCTCATACCATCGGCCGAGGTACTAAGGGGAAAATGATGCTGTTACATTGGGGACTGTTGTGGATTTGGCATTAGAAAGAAAAGATATGCCTTCTCGATTACCATTAATTTGTCCTAAATTAAAATCCTGCCAACAAATCAACAATCATTACAAAGAAGTTATTATTATCAATATCAATTTCACTGCAAAATAAATCTTGACAAGCCTCTCCACTACAATGAAAGAAGTATAAGCGATCCAGCAACTTACGGTTCTAAAGTCTGCCAAAGAGATTATACCCAGGGGTACCACCGCTACCGCAAATGTTTCGAATGCAACGCTAGAGTCATCATTTCGACGTTGAGCACAGTTAGTAATCAATAATTTAGCTGTATATCATGTACGAATTTATACAATATTGTAATACAAGTAATATATTTACAAAATCTTACTGAAGTGCAGCCGTTATGGTTAATAAACAAGTTACAGACATCTTAATCCGAAGTCTAGGCTGCATCATCGCATTCATATGATCTGCGGTAATGGCGGTCACTTCGATCAGACGAGCAACCCACCGCATGGAGGTCGAAATTCTTCACGACGGGGAAGACGGGGCAGGGACCGTCGTCCGGAGGCACCGGCATGAAGCCCTGAGCGCGGGCCGCGCCCACGAACAGGCTCAGTGCGGTAAGGAACTTCAACAGGACGGCCATTTCACGCTACGTCTGTCGAAGAAAATAGATCCTTGAAAATGCTTTTGTAACTAAGTACATCACCAATGAATGTGATATTTTCATGAAAATCTACGTCAAATGGTTTCTGAGAGGATTTCCTTTTGCGTATTTTATCTATGCATATACAAAAGAAAGAAATGCATAAGTACACGCATACGTGCTCTAACACGTGCACTCTGCAACACCATATCTCAGAGCACCAGGGAAAGCTTTTAGGACACGCTCTAGTTCCACCCTCACAGTCTGCCCTCAGGCTATTCCTTCTATCCCACTGAATACACACACAAAGCGATTGTCACATTTTAAACTAGCTTAGGGTCATGGGTATGTTCACCTTCGAAACCAACATTGAAAAATGGGGAAAAAAAAATGAGAAAATTTATGATAATAATAACTACTATTATCATCCTTACTACCATTACAATAATAATAATAATAATAATAATAATAATGGTAATACCAACAATGACAATAAGAGTAACAAAAACGAAAATAACAATAATGATAATAATAACAATAATGATAAACAATAATGATACTGATAACAGTAATGATGGTGATCATAATAATAATCATAATAATAGTTTATCATAGTCGCCAACATCGTTATCATCATTATTATCATTATCATTATTGTCATTATTACTATTATCATTATTATTACTATTATTATACTATCATTATTATTAATATTATCATAACTATATAATCATTATTGATATTATCATTATCATTATTATTATCATCATGATTATTATCATTGTAGTTCTTATCATTATTATGACAATAAAAAAATAATATTACTGTTCATAATAGTAATAATGATAATGAAAATATGACATTAAAAATGATGATAATGATGAATAAATATATGATACAATAATACTGAGAAGTAACACGCATTCATATACACACACACGCACGCACACACAGGCACATGTATGTGTGTGTGTGTGTGTGTGTGTGTGTGTGTGTGTGTGTGTGTGTGTGTGTGTGTGTGTGTGTGTGTGTGGTGTGTGTGTGGTGTGTGTGTGTGTGTGTGTGGTGTGTGTGTGTGTGTGTGTGTGTGTGTGTGTGTGGTGTGTGTGTGTGTGTGTGTGTGTGTGTGTGTGTGGTGTGTGTTGTGTGTGTGTGTATCTACACATATACACATACATACATATACGTATGTGTATGGTATATATGTGCTATATATAATATGTATATATAATATATATATATGTATATATATATGTATATATATATATATATATATATATATATACATACATAGTATTGTACCATATATAATAATATATATATATATAATATATATGATATATATATATATATATATATGAACATATAATATTATATTATATTATATACATATATATATATATATATATTATATTATATATATATATACATATATATATATATATATATATATATATATATATATATATATATAAATATATATATATATATATATATATAAGAGAGAAGAGAGAGAGAGAGAGAGAGAGAGAGAGAGAGAATGAGTAAGTTTTAAAATGACCTGCCCCTAAACCAGCGAGTAACTAGTATCTTTAACTTGATGTCTGACCTTGCGCGCCGTGACTTTCACTTCTCGAGGCCGTTCTTGCGCATACCGCGGTGGGAGAAAGGGAGGCAGTGCTTTTAACAGTAATACCTAATTTAGTCCGCTTTTCTGTAGATCTGAGGTGATACCCCTGGGAAGTATTTTAGTTATGTTTTATTTTTTTTTTTTATTTTTTTATTTTTTTTTTTTTTTGCAATTCCTACTTACTCTTTACTATATCCACTAGCATTTACATCATTGCCTTCAATTTAAGTACCGATACCTGCCATAATTTTAATCAATTAGGCTGTTAATGTGGCAACAAAAATTGTCCCTGGTTTAGCAATGCGTCCATCTTAGTTGTAAACATAGTCGTTTTAGTTCTATTACCATGAATGTAATCATCACGTGTATTAGTAATAACATAACATTTGGACAAAACAATTATGACAAAATTTGCAGTTCCATTTTCGTTCCTCAAACTGGCTCCCGGTCCCTGACGCAACCAAACCGCCTCGCCGTGGCGAGCGGACTCCACGGGCTGTGGCTCGTTGGCTGCCGTGAGGCGGCACTTTTGCAGTCACTCATTGTCCACATGGGATTTCCGGGAAGACTATTAGTTCCGGAGATCCTTATCGTATTTCTAGACTACTAATCAAGTAAAGTTAGCCCCTACCACTACCATCGCCAAAATTATGGTTATAATCTTCTAGTTCTCTTTAGGCTAAATGCCACATTTTTAACAATATTAGATGGATGCTTTTACTTGCATACTTATACTTTCGCTGTTACGTTTCATCACTTCGGAGAATTGTAAAGTAACCACAATAACTCTTGTGAGGATGCGTTCGTGTTCAAATATTCTAATTCAACAAACGTTCAAAAGGTTACCTTGGACCGTACGTTTACAATCTACGGAAATAAGCCTTCTTTTTATAATGGTTTCTAATTCTTTTCAAGGTTGTCCATTTGCGTCCTACTCCTGACTCTACTA